ACATTTTGCTGCTCTGGTGGGCAGGTGCTGATCGCAAATGCTCCGTAGAGTGTCAAGCAGCCGCTCGGTATAAGTGTTCAGATCATTGGGGCTCTTGTATTGACTTAGCTCCTGCTCTTCTTGCTGTAATGTTAGAGAGAAAGCTTTGTTAAGTATTCGCAATTTGTTACCCGGAAGTTTGTATCTTTTAAAGATGCTGATCCTTGTGTCGCTTGCAATATTGAAGTGTATGTAGCGATGGTCCGAGCAGCTCTCTTCATCTGCTACCATCCAGTCTTGTAGGTTATTGGCTATATCATTAGTAGTCACTGTAATATCTGGCCATCCGTGGTGGTACGTGTTGTCAAATGTGGGTGGCGCGTTGGGGGTGTTTATGATTTGCAGATTGCTGGCCAATATGTAGTCTTCCAAGACTTGCCCTTTTGGAGTGGTAGCTGGGTAACCCCATATGATGTTGTGGGCATTAAAATCACCGCCTATAACATGTGATGTTGTGGGGCACTTTGTCTTTACTTCTTCGATGCTCATGATGGTCTGGTGGATATCATCCGGTGGGGGACTGTAGATGGAGGAAATGATGATCTGTGAATTTGAGAAGCTGAGGAGGATTGCTACATGGTCTCGCTTCTGTGTAATTATCAGCGGGGACCAGAGCGGGTTGCAGCAGGCGATTGCTGCTCTTGGTGGTGGCTCATTCTGTTGTGCTTTGCGCTGAAATATTTTCCAACAGAGTGGCAAACAGGCGACTTCCCCTGCTCTGCAGTAAGGTTCTTGAATCAATAGTATATCTGGTTGATGGTTGATTGTATGTTGGATCAATTGTGACGCGGCGGCTTTTGCTCTTTGTAAATTAATCTGGATGCATTTGATAACTTCTCGTTGGATGTCTGGTGTTTGCATTATTTGAGTGGGCGGCTGTGGCAAATCACTCGTATCTGGTACTGCGTCTGATATTAGCGATGTATCTTCCGTACGAGGGGCAGTTGACATCATAGGCTGGATGATCGCAGGGGATGCTCCTGTTTGTCCTATAGTTATAGTCTGCGCAGTTGATACACGCGGGCTGCTGCGCTCGGCATTCACGGATGTCGTGTTCTTCTGTGCAGTATGCACAATAATGTTTGTTGGAGCACTCCTTTTGAGTGTGGCCGAGTTCCTGGCATCTGTAGCATCGCTTGGTGTTATAGAAGTCTGCAATTCGGTATGCCCGCCAGCCGAGGTAGAGTCTGGGAGCCTGCATGATTCGCTGGTAGACTGTAGGTTGGCAGTCAAGAACCCATTTAACTGTGTTTCTTCTATCTCGGAGGCGGTAGAGGATCTTGACTGTTGATTTGGTAGCATTGTGCTCCGATGCCAAAGCTCGTTCTATTTCGTGTTCCTGGACTTCATGTGAGACGCTGTGGATAGCAACTCTTGGAAGTCTTGTGGCGGGAAGCTTGGTCTCTACCAGTTCTTGTCCCTTTGCACTGTTTAGCGTATTTTTAGCTTGTCAAGGTCCTCCTTCGTGTGACAGTCAACGGCTAGCCCTCCTTTTTGTATGTTTCTGACTGTGGATACCTTTACTCCTATCTTCGGCAGTGGGAATTCCTGGCTGAGTTTAGCCTTAAGGTCTTGACTGGTGGAGCAGGTGGCTTCCTTAGGATATAGGATATAGTAATAGTGTGTGCCGGGGCGTAGTTATGTGACTAGTATCTTTAGCCTTAGCTGCAGCAGCCGCGTAGGATGGACCTCTGATCGGATTAGGCAGTGGTGCTACAGCGAACACGTTATGCCTCTGCTGGTCTGTTTGATACTGGTTATTTGCATGTGCTAATTCGCAGCAGAAGAGAGTGGAGGTATTGGTACTTGTGTCGGCTTTTGTTGGTTTTGCTGTGTATTCGGGGCGTTCTAGGGCTAACTTCTGTAGAGCCTCTAGTTAGGTAAGAATACGTTCTCTGAGTTCTGTTCGGAGCAGAAATTTACCACCTCAGTAGGTAGTTGTTACTCTCTTGATTTCCTGGTAGAAGAGGTCTACCTTTTCAGCATGAGCTATGTCTGAGTTTAAGATAGAGGTCGGGTCTAAGGCGCTAGACGACGTTGTTATATCTTCGTCAGTAGATAGAGTAGATTTTAGTACCATGATATTAATGCAGACAATGACAGTTAATATGCAGAATTACAATAAAAAGCGTACAGTTACATAATCTAAGGCAATACAGTTAAATATAAGTGCGTGCAATGAAAGCGCTGCCAACAGTTAGCGTGCACGGGTACAAGGTGACAAGTAAATGAGAAGTGAATGGAATTTACAGAAAACTCATTAATTTCCGTCACAAATGCTAAATGTACGGAACTGAATGCTGTGAAGAAGAAACCAGCCACAGAGCCTATTTCTCATACAATGCATACAATACACAGAATAATGCATACAATACACAGAATAATTGCATATACAGAAATAAAATCTAAACGAACTTAACAAGGTATGGAAACAAGAGTACAATAGATGGCTATCAGTAAATAAGCACAAACAAAAATTTACAGGAAGATGAAATTAAATAAGTATAAAAATTATAATAATGATGATAAAAGTAATAAAAAGAAGTAAATATAATAGAATAAAAGTTAAATGCACAGTGAAAAACTAGAACAGGGTTAAAAAATTTGGGTGTACTAAGAGGCTGGCTAAGTACCGTGCAGCTAAGTTCAAATTGTAAACAAAAGCACGTGCAAGACTTATAGCAACTGCACTCTACTATGCGCGCATGCGCTAGAAAAGCTTGGACAAGGAGTTGTCCGACAAGTTCAAAGGGCGACCTGTCCTGCTGGACCGACCCTCCACCGCCTGTGTCGTAAAAATGAGCCGGGTGAGGATACCGGGGAAAGAACAAGGTCACACAGGAAAAATTGCAATTAAAATCTTACGGCACTCAGTCACTAATTAAGCTAGCAGGACGAATGATACACTAAAGAAAGGTAATCTAAAAGCCTACCTTTATCGTCTAGGAATGGTGTCGATATTCCCACTTAGACCGGAGATAAGGGCAAATTAATCCAGAAGTATGGCACTTTTATGTCGCACAATAAAAAAACACTGTAATAAATCGCACAAACACTTCACAATCACAGCACTGGTATCAATGAAGAGATCATATCTTCCACTTTCCAAAGGTACTAGGATTGAAATTGGATGCCTGTAGGTGCCAGAGAAATCTTAATAGATGTAAACACCACAAACGGCACTTCACGGGGTCACGGTAACCCTCAGCAGATATCACGAGGTCGCGATACGAACAATGACTTCTGCTTTAAAGACTTAATTAATCCACCACTAATAAACGGAATCGCTCCAGATGCATATCAAATTGCTCAGCTTTTGAAGAACTTTAAATTGATATAACTCTTGTGTAAACTATATCAAAACTAACTTAAAATAATAAGGCGAAAAGCGAGCTCGCGAAAACACGTCGTACAGCATTGATGCCGCGTCCGGAAATCTGGTGGAGATCACTTACAGCCATTCATGGACTTCACGTACTCAAACAACGATGGGATTTTTATCGATGGCAATGCGCCATGTCACCGGGCCACAATTGTTCGCGATTGGTTAGAAGAACATTCTAGACAATTCCAGCGAATGATCTGGCCACCTAGATCGTCCAACATGAATCCCATCGAACATTTATGGGACATCGTCGAGAGGTCAGTTCGTGCCCAAAACCCTGCACCGTCAACACTTTGACAATTATGGACGTCTATAGAGGCAGCATGGCTCAATATTCCTGCAGGGGACTTCCAACGACTTGTTGAGTCCATGCCACATCGAGCTGCTGCACTTCGCCGGGCAAAAGAAGGACCGACAAATATTAGGAGGTATCCCATGACTTTTGTCACTTCAGTGTAAGTCAATACCAGTTAGGTTTCTGGGATCTTTTGAATCTCAGATGTTTTAAATTTTGCCTTTATTTTTCCCCAAATGTGCTCACTTTTATGTACTACTTATCCAGTCCAAATAAATTTCCTTTAAAATAAATTAATGGGCGGAAATAGCATCCAAAGCTATTAGACGGTCACACTATTAGTCACTAATAATCACACTATTAGTGGTGTAATTGCTTTGCACCACTTCAGATTTACGTTACTGAGATAAGTTCTTTAATATCCAATTAAAATGGCAAATAAAAGCTTATGTTTTTAAGTTTTTCTTCCATTTTTTTTGACTTAAACTATATTTTCTCTTTAGGGTGCAGGAAAACATTTGTCTTAAGCAGTTATTAATCGCTAATTTTGTTCTATTGGATAAAATGAATGGGAAAAGCAAGCTCACGGCCTACAGATATAAATTATGATATATGTTACGAAAATTATGGAAACAGTATAACGCACTGAAGTTACTAGAAAATTAATCTCGAATGTTTATTGATTACAGTAAAATAGCGCTGTAAAAGTCAGCTGTGTTAGATGAATTTAATCATTAAGCGAGAACGTTTATTTTAGCTAAATTTTTATTAAAGGAATTAATTTATTGAAAAATTTTAAGGAAATTATCTTTTGTAAGAAATCAAAATTACATATTATATATTACGTATTACTATATAATATTGTTCAAGGAAATTTAATTTGAATTAATTTAATTATTATGCAAACCAAAATTTAGTCGAAACATCCTCTTAATAACAGCATTAAATAATCCCTTTTATACACTATTCTAAAGGAATTTTCACGAAAACGACTTTGGGACTCCAGCGAGAAATGGCGAGACTAAAATTGCTCTTTAAACTATATACTGGAAGACTTTTATGTTATCAGCTTGCATTAAAACAGAATAAAACGCTAGAATAGAACGCAAAAAGAAGTTCTAAAAATAAACAAAAACTATCCTACTTATTTACTTACAGAATTCTTTTTCCAACAATTTGAGATTTAATAAACTAATAGATCTGTCCCATAAATCTTTTGCATCATTGAAATGATAAAACACGGAAGTAAATTTAGAAAAAGTCAATTAACAGGGAAGTTACCTGCGGTAATTTACAGGAATTCAAAGTTCTACTGAAACGAATGTCCACATCATCCTTGAACAATCTTGGATCATTCCTGCAGGTAGATTAAAATATTATTAATTAAAAAAAAGTGTTTGTAAAAATTTTTAAATAATACATTAAATGTGATGAAATATAAACACACTATATTCATTCGCATTTTAACATACTAATTAATTTCTACACTGATATACAAAGGGGCTCACAAAAATCTTCGCACGCTTGCGAGTTTCAGTGGAATATTGCATTATTAATTAATAACAATTAATATTTTTGAATGAAGAATTTTTTAATAATATTTATAAATTTCTCTTAGCAAAACTACATTAATTATTTTATGAGTATATCAAAAAGTTTGTTTTGAAAAATCAATAATAAAAACGTAACAGAAAAGTTACCTCACTAAAGTCTTCGTTCGCTTTAAAGAAATCTGCATATATTAGTAAATATTGTAGTATTTTTGTCAGTATTTTGTAGTACATCCTGCAGTATTTATGACAGCTTTCAATCGTCTGGGTATACAGTTAACCATTTTGTTTTTTGTAATGTCTTCATCAATGTTCCTCCATTCTTCCATCATTGCTCTTTTTAGTTCGGTTTATTTTTTAATGTTGTATCTTCATACTATAAACTCTAATTCTCTCTAAATGTGTTCTGTTGTGTTTAAAATCTGGTAACTGAGGTGGTGTTTTCAGAACTTGTGGACAATTACAGAGACACAAAAGGCGAACGTTGAGAGCCGTGTGCTTAGGATCGTTACCCTGATAAAGTTGTTTCTAGGATTCAAAGTTTGGGCAGATAATTTTAAATTATCTTTTAAAATATTTAAATAAAGAGCTTGGTTCATTATGCCATCAATAATTACTAAATTATTTGATACTGATGTTGACATGCACCCTCATACAAGAACACGACTACTGCCATGCTTTACTGTTCCAACGAAGGTCCTGGGATTAAGCTCCTCATTTGTTTTCTCCATATACGCACAAATGGTAAATTTGCTTTCTTCTGCAAATACGACATGATTCCAATAAGCTTCGGGCTTATTCGCAATTGATTTTGAGAAGAAAAGCCTAAGCTTGGTATTTTTCGCACTTGCAGAGCGCCTAAATAATCCAGCCGATTTGAAGACTCGTCTGACAGTTTCAAGTGAAATTAAAGTAGAAAAATGTTCAGTAAATTCTGTAGAAATCTTTACAAAACTCAAAAACGTGGATTTTTCACAGATTTTTATAACTATAAATCTCTGATCATGTTCAGCCACATCGAATCTTCTTTAATTTAAATTCGATTTTTTTCTTTAGAGCATTTTATCAAATACCCCACCGTAGAATGGAATAAATTTATTAATTTAGCGATATCCCGAATCAAATTTCCAGCTTTATGATTAAAATGTCAATTTTGGAACGTTCTTCGTTGCTTTCTTACGACTACGAGACATTTTTAAACATTAAATAAAATATAGCAAAGTAAGCAAGCAAAAGGTAAAGAGAAACAATTTATTAAACACCACAAAGTGCAAAACAAAAAAGTGATAGACAATAATTTTATTTATGAAATTTCACAAAAATGTTTCGGTGTACGATCACTTATGATCTCACCGGGACACGAGCATATGATTACTAATCGGGCGGACTTTCCAGTTCCTCCACGAAAGTACGAGGTAAGGAGAAAGAAAAACCTTACAAAGTTACATATGTGTTTTAAGAACATTTTTGATAAAGATATTAAGAAAAATGAAACGTGTCACAAGTATTATTTAGCAAAAAATCGTCATGTGAAAACTAAATTGCTTCAAATATATATAGAAATTTATCATGTTAGTAAATTTTAGTTTAAAAGTTTTGACGGAAATATTCTTTATCTGCATTTAAAACGGTCTGGAGTGCATGGAATTATCATTATAAATGCACGAAAATAATAAATTAAGCAACATAATTTATAATAACAGGAAAAACCGTCAAGGACAACTTTTATAAGGAAAAAAATCCAGAAAAGATGCACCTTTGCAATTAAGGTAACTATTTTAAAAGTAAGTGCCTAGTATAGAGTATGAGGTCATAGTTAAGAATCTACTTTTAAAAGAAAATCCTAACGAATGAAAAAGGAACGCAGTGATTTAAAAATATTTCTAGTAAGCTAAATGGAGGAAAAAAAAAAAAATCTGAAAGCTTTCAGATTTTATATTACGCCCAAAGTGGCTTTTTTTTTTAACGTTTTGTGCATTAACTTTATATATTAAATATCATGTTCTTCGCACTTAAGCCATAAAACTCAATTCAACAGCAATATCGCAAAATAATTTTTAAACGAGGATATCTTTAAAATTTCCGATACACAGTTTCGCGCGCTGCAGATAATAATGTTGTTTTTTCCCTACAGTGTTGCCATTCCTCGCTTTGAAATCGTTGAGTTTGTTAAAAAAATTCTTTAATGTCTGACAAAATATGAAACAGATAATAAAACAAATTCCAAATTAGGGCTTCCAGATGCCCATATTCGGTGGAGGATTACGTTATTCACAATTTGATGACTTTAGTTACCGTTGTTTTAATATAATGCGTGAAACCACATGTTTATGCAGATTATTCATTCTTTAATTTCTTTAAATAAAATATAGGACTTTAATATTTGGTGGCAACAAAAGTGAATCAACGCAAAATTTCAAAACGAAATTAGTAGCCCTTCTAAGCTAACGCCCTTTGGGCTAATAATCGAAGATATTAATTTTGAAAATGCTAAAATCCTTTTCTCATTTTGCTAAAGCGCAAGGTTGAAGGCATACTTTTGTGCGTCACAATCATTGTTTTGCTACACATATTAAATGTCTACCATTTGTTCATATTCGTTCGAAGTCCTCTGATGTCCGTATATGTTATTTTGCTTTTAGACTATTAAAAGAAGGCAGCCTAACACATAATTGAACAGATTATGGGAATCAGTGTTAGAATGAGGGAAGAATATTCTTACAAACTTTCAGAAATGATGTTTTATTTTGGAAATTAATAACCGAGAGGGAAAAAACTATAAAACATTTAAAAAACAAAAGCATTTTTGTTTAAAATATTAATTATAACGCAGGAAATTCGTTTTAAATGCATCTGAATAGTCTTTGTAAAAAAGTACGACATAAACTCGCTAATACACAAAATGCACGATGTAATTCAACAGATTACAGTATCTTGCTTGACAGTGACTGGAAACATTATATACATTAATAACTTCAACAGTTCAGTAAAATAACTTTTACGCCAGTACCCAAATTATATCAGTGTCTTCCCACAATTAGGAATCATAATATAGAATATGAGATTTTATTTATTACACTAAAGACTGGACAAATATAGCCACGAAGTGGAGTAGTGTGGGGGTGAAAGTGTTCCCAAATCCTGAGAGGGAGATTCTGAGGGTAAAGGGAGGGAAGGAAGGCCAACGAAAAGATGTGCTGGAGCTCCTCTCAGACACGTGGTTCTGGAGCATGCGCGTGAAGAGTCTTTTCCCAGACGCAAACGATCGAACGATCGTTCTCATCTTGGCAGCTTTGACTCCCCTCAACCGAACCCCCAAGTTACTAAAACGGATATTGTAGCATTCACCACTACGCGGCCATTTTATGGGGCGAATTCGGTCTCCATATGGTACGACGCGTGACACAGGTGTGTCGTGTCGTGCCGATAAAAGATGCAGTCGCACATTCAATGTAGAAATGGTCATTATTCGTAATGCTATAAATAAATGGTCACTCAATTGATGACAAAGAAGTTATGTAGGGCTACTAGCACTGGCAATATATTTAACAGAGAAATTACAAAACAAAATTTAGCAGTAGAATTATGAATTTCGAATTAAAATTTCATGTTATATTTCCTGAATAGCATTCAGTTAAGAACAAATTAAAACAAGAATCCCAAGAAAATATATTATTGTTAAAATAAACGATGCACTTGATATATTGGGAAAGGCTATACATATCCGCTCTTATTGATATCTAATTCTTTATCTATTGTTGACTGCTAATATATTTAGCCCAATACTGACGAGATAAACAATATGAATAGTTTATATGTGTAATGAAATATAATAGCATTTAACACTGAATTTACACAACATTCAGAGCTATTAAACTTTGTTATTATATACGACCGTTTATAATGTGTGCTGTTAATTTTTAATGAGAGAAGAAATTTTCGAGAGTATTTAAATTTACGGGGTGATTAAGTATAAACAGAAGCAAATGTTTCACAATTTTAACACGAATGATCAGGTAAATAATATTTTAATCATAGCTGGCAAAGTTATCTCAAATAAGTATAACACTTCAAAATCTGAGAAGATAATAACTTGCAGGATCATTGCATGTGTAACAGGATATGTAACGCTTAAAGTTGCATACAAAATTACATAGCCGAAATAAAATCGTAGTAAAAACGTTATTTGTTTTTGCAACATACGATCGCATACGAATGTAACGAAACATTAAAAAAGATATTTTTCGGCGAAATTTACGGTACGCAGTAACATAAGCAACTACGCAATGCCTAAAATAAGTTTTCTGCAGAGAGCAGAGGGGGGGGGATTTTATAGTACGAGTTTTAAATTACAGTTATGTGCACTAGAAAAATCTTCTGATTTATAATAGAATATAAAGCAAAAAATGCATGAATATATTGCATTTTGAAATGGTGGCATAAGGAGGTTTAATTTATCTATTCGTCTGACGAGTGTTTCTCATCAGATGTTCCAGCAAACCCTATTGTTCCATAGGAAATAATTGATGAATAGGCTGATTAATAGTGATGAATAGAATAGTGCTTATGCAGGTGCCAAATGAGATTTGAATACTACGTCATATCGTCTACAAAGGGGGGGCATCAGCGGCCGAACAGTAAAGTCGCTGAACACTGCTAGTTTGGTGCGAAGTTCCAATCCCTAGAATGGGCTCGCTGCATGGGTGTTTTCGTGAATTAACGTGGATACAAACCAGTTTCCCTTAGAATATCTTCCACTAAGGGATCCTCTTTTTAGGCAGACAGCTCTCGAGTGATTAGCCGTAAT